ATCAACATAACAGTAACAGTTACGGTAGCTGGCGCTCCTCTAGTTTAATTAGTTTGGCAACTTATGCTCAAGTCACCAATATAGAGATGAAGACGAAGGGGAGAAAAATAATTGTAAGCAGACAAAGAACAGTGGGTTCCCTCTTCAATGCTACTGAATTCGATGGTGGAGCGCTGTAATTGTAATATGGATAGTACGGAACAGCTTGGTTCGGTGGGGGATAGTAAGAGCCGCCAGGTGGCCCACCACCACCTGCAGCCGGGGAGGGATTTGAAGATTCCCCTGGCGGAGGTGGTGAGTAGTAGGATGAGCCAGAAGAAGGGGGTGGTGGAGGGCACTCAGGGAGTAGCGGGGGTTGAGGAGGCGGCGGAGAGTAGTAGGACTCTGGGATTTGTGGAGGGGGGGAAGGAGGCGGGGGAGAAGGTGAAGGTGGCGGTGGTGGTGGGGGAGGAAAGATTGGTTGACATGGGTTGTTACAGGCTGAGCACATTGTGCAAGAGATTTGGTCCCTAGCCATGGCAGTTACAGTGGACATGGCTTCAGAGACTCTGCCATGCGTAATAATAATACCAGTCAAGTACACAAGGGCAGTGAATGATAGGCTTAGGCTCCCCATCGTCCAAAATGTTGAGACTTTCACAATTCAATTCAATGAAAGGGGGGGTTGAGGTCGTCCGTCTGTCTTGGTAGTATATTCGATACCGGTATGAGATGCCGCACTACAGAAGGGCCCTAGCGGGTGGGAGGAATGCGGAGGTTGGAAAATGGAAGTAGAGAACTGAGGGAGGTGGAATGGGTAAAATTAAAATTGGGTACTCACTCCTGGGAATGTGGTGTAGATTGTCTCGATACATGTGCGAGTGTTGTTGGTGGGGAGGAATTGAGTTGACGATCGGAGTTGTCAACATGTGTGCGCAATAGAAATTAGAAAGAGCGTCGTCCTGTACCAGTACAAAAAAATAATTCAAGGCACAGCGTTCGTCCATATCTGTTTTGGTATCATCTACGCCACCATTTCGTTATCTTCATTCATCCTGGCAGGCCTTCGTGAAATTTTGTTGTGACATCAAGTCTGTCGGTGCACCGACATCCTCTATCATTTTTTTTTTTTTTTCCATTTGGATTCGATTTCATCGATGCAACAAAGTTGTCGAGGCTGCTTCACTTCTCATGCAACTTTTTATGTGCCAAGTGTGACGTTACTTGCCTCGCCAATCTTAAAAAGCCAGAGCTGCACTCATTCTTTTACCCCTCTTTGTCTAACATTTTTCTGGGCTTAAACGACTAGGGGTAAGGGAACAGAGATTCAACGACACTAGTGAAGTTCTACGCTTCCGCCAATACAGAGGCCAGGGAAAAGAGAATCATCAAGAGACAAAACGAAACCAGTTCTACGCTAGAGATTTGGTTTCAACTAGTTCAAGTGATCAACAAGCTTAGAGCCATGCTGCTTCCGGTTTCACTTTGATAGTCTTGATATATTTTTTTCACACAATTTGAGAAAAAATAGTTAACTTTGTTGAAAAAGTAAATCTAATCTATTGTTTTTCTAAAGTACCGTTACATTACATTAATATTAGAAGTATGATTCCTTATAATACTAATGAAAAGTTACACTATTTATAGGTTATAATCACTAATAATAAAGCACATTAAACAAAAGTATTTTAAAATAAATTACAAATTAACTATAATTTTTAATTAAAAATTAACTATAATTTCAAATGAACGAAAAATAACGTTGAGAACATCGCTTAACTAGGGGTGTGCATCGAATTCGAAAAGCATCAGAGAATCCAACCGAATTCGATTTCAAATTCACCAATTCCAAATTCGAATTCGTATCGAATTCAATTCGAAATTCAGTAACTTCTGATTTGGGAAATTCTATATATTATATAAATTTTATTATATAATATATATATTGAAAACGAATTTAAAATTGAAATCAGTATTCGATTTTCGATTATGAATTGTGGATTCGAAATCGCAAATTTCGATTTGAAAACTCCATTATCGAATTCGAACCAAATTCGAAATATATGAATTTGGAAACCTGAATTCAATTTCGATTTCCGATTTATCCATTTCAAAAATTTTAAATTTAATTCGAATTCGATTGATAAATTGAAATTTTCTGATTTTGCACACCCTTACGCTTAACGCATTGAGGAGGCAAAAATACGGATTAAGTGTGCGCTGTTTCTCCAAAAGACGGAGGTCATGGCCTACACTGCAAGTCCGTGGCCTTCAAATGCATGCATCTGCTAGGCAATGTTTTCAAACCCGGACCGGACCGGCCGGGTCGACCGGTTCGACCGCGACCCGGACATGTGTCCGGTCCGGTCTAAAGCTTATGTTGACTTTTATAAGAAACCGGTCAAAACCATAAAAAATCGTTCAAATCTTCAAAACCGGGTCGGACCGTGAACCGCGGTTTTCCAAATTTTTGAGTCAAAATTGACAAAAGCTTCAATTTTGACCGATCCCTAATCTTCATTCTTCACTTCGCTAGTTCGCTTCAGTCTTCCTCTTCGCACTTCACTTCGACGCTTCGGTCTTCCTGGTTCCTCTCTCTACAATTGCCGAAATTGCCTTGCCTGCCATCTCTATTTCCTTCTCCCCTTAATGGCTTAACTCTAATCCCTTCTCCAAAGTGTGGTGTGGATCACTTTTGGGGGAAACGGCGTAGATGACCACTGGTTGGCGGTGCTCGTTGTCGACTGTGGGCTGAAGGTGCGGCTGAGCAGGGTGATTGAGGTGGTGTAGCTGCGGTGCAACTGGTGGTTTCTTGATTTTGTGGGAGTCTTTGCTTACTTTAAGTGGAGCTGGACGTGGGCTCTGTAGTTCTCTCCTCGGAGACGGCTGCCGTCGGTGGAAAAGGAATCAGCAAAAAGGAAGTCCAAACTCTGTAGTTTTCCGCCTGCTGCTGCGATTCTAAGCCAAAAAAAAATTGTGGAATTCAAGCTTATCTACTAATAATGGAAGTCCAAACTCGTTCACACTTCACACCATTTTCATCAGCTTTTCTCGCAACCCTGTCTCAGGTATTTTATTTCATACGCCTGCTGCGCTTCTATCTTTTTTTTCAATACGAATTGGTTTACGGTACTGATATTGGGTAATGAAATTTGCATGTGAAACTGAATTGGTGAATTATTTTTCTTCATCAGTTCTTACCTTCCAAGATTTCCACCGACACCAGATCAAGCATGTAGCACATAATTTAGTTTAGTAGGGTAATTCAAGATAAGATCCTACCCCAATATTGGAGTAAATGAGAAATACATTTTTGGGGTATAGACTGAAATTGCATCCAATTAAATTATGCTGTCTGTCCATCGCAGATTTTTTTTTTTAAATGTCAGTTGTCATCTGGAAGAATTGAAGCATATTTTTCTGCACAAAACATGGAAAATGGGATTAGTTGTTTCTGCACAAAATATTTCATGTGTTCGATTCTCGTTACTGTGCGGATTATAGTTTCATTATATTCGTTCTTTCCCTTACTGCGTCTAAGTTCTGCACTTCTTCAGCTATGTCGGTGGCATGTGAAAATATTGTCCTTCTTATTGGAGGACGAAATTTTATTTCCGCAATTTCTTGTTGTTGAGTTTCTATGATATTGGTCTCACGAGGGATATGGGCACAATCACAATATAATTTATTATTAACATAGGCTGTTGTTTATGGAGCAATTAAGTGAAGCTTAAGCATTGATTAAAAAAAATTTTAAACAAATATAATACACTATATAGCACAAGCACCAAGATTTGCATATTAAGTCTAATAATAGTCTAATAGTCTTAAGCTTCATTTATTTGGGAACTGAAACTGTCACCAACGAAGGCCAGAAAGCCAGATCAGAATCACACGAAATACATACTGATGCTTGACAAAGTTAACCCTGACCCCTGGAAGCTTCGAAAACCCAGGCCAGATTGTGTCATTAGGCGTACGAAAAATTTTGAATATCTGCAAAACAAAACGACAATGATCTTTAAGGCCACAGAGAAGAAAATTAGCTTGAAATCCATACAAAAATCTACAGTAACATGACAGATGAAAGTTATTTGATGTCTTTGAAAGTTATTTGATGTCTTTAAATCTCTGTGCTATTATTTAAAAGTATATTTGATGTCTTTAAATCTCTGTGCTATTATTTAAAAGTATATTTGATGTCTTTAAATCTCTGTACAAAACCCAGTTATCGTGAAGATACTTAACACCCTCAAGAAATGCACAAGGCTTAGGGAATTAACTTCATTCGTGCTAAACGGTTGTTTCATTGTCTCCATTAACCCTTTTAGATCTTTTGGTGACAGTTTCAGTTCCCAAATACGAATAGCCTTAATAATTTGTTTCAGTTTTTGTATATTAATTATTTGTTAAGACTAGTTATTTTTAAACATCTCATTTTAGGATGGAGGCTGGTAGCGGTAGTAACTCACAATGTTCACCGGGGGGAGCATTCAATAGTGAGGGATCTGCAAGTCAGCCCCAAGGTCATAGGCAAAATACAGATATAGCATGGGGATATGTTTTTGAGGGCAGAAATGCATAAGGAAGAAAAACCATGACATGCACTTATTGTTTTAAAGTGTTTCATGGGGGTGGCATCCACCGAATGAAGCAACACTTAGCAGGAGTAACGGGCAGTGTTACTTCATGTCCAAATGTTGATCCAGCAGTGAGGCTTGCAATATTAACATGTTTGCAAGAGAATGATAAAAAATCTAAAGAAAAAAGAGGAGATTTTGGGGTCGAAAGTCCTTTTGGTCAACCACTGCACGAATTTGTCGGTGATGAAGTGCAAGAGGTTCCACCTCCTCGAATAAGGGAAATTTCAATGAATGAGGCTGGTACATCATTAGGTAAAGGAAAGAGAAAAGCCACTGCCCCTACAGGTATTCGTGCTTTCTTTAAGGGTGGACGTGATAGTGCTAAACCTACTATCAAAGCTTGTTTGCAAAGTAAGGATAAATGGAAAAAATACTGATATGGCCATTGCTCTTTGGTTCTATGATGCATGTATTCCCATTAATGCTGTTAATTCTCCATTTTTTCAAAAAGCTATCGATCAAATTGCATCAATGGGTCATGGTTATAAAGCTCCATCTTATCATTCTTTGCGAGTCACTTTGTTGCGAGATGCTAAGAAAGATGTGCAGTTAGTTGTTGATTCATTTCGAAATACTTGGGCTGAAACTGGATGCACTATAATGGGTGATGGATGGAAAGATAGTAGACAAAGACCATTGATTAATTTTCTGGTTTATTGTCCTAAGGGTATATCTTTTATCAAGTCTATAGATGCATCGGACATTGTGACAAATGCAGAAAATTTGTGCAATCTGTTTGTTGAAATTGTTGAAATGGTTGGTTCAAAAAATGTGGTGCATTTAGTCACTGATAATGCTAGCAATTATAAGGCTGCTGGAACTTTATTAAATGAAATATATCCAACTATTTGCTGGTCTCCATGTGCTGCCCATTGTATCAATTTGATTTTGAAGGATATTGGTGAAATGGGTACTGTTAAATCTCTAGTGGCTCTTGCTGCTACAGTAACTGTTTTTGTGTATAATCATAAATATGTTCTAAATTGGTTGAGAAAAACAAATGGTTGGAGGGAGATTATTCGTCCGGGGGAGACTCGATTTGCCACCACTTTTATTGCACTAAAGAGCTTACATGATCACAAAGACAACTTACAAGCTTTAGTCACTAGCGGAGATTACAAAAAGTTCTTGAAAATGAACAAAGGAAAAGAGGTCAAACAAATTGTTTTGGATGATAGATTTTGGAATAATTGTTTGATTACGGTGAGAATAATGGGTCCTATTATTCGGTTGTTGAGAGTTTGTGACACTGATGAAAGGCCTTCTTTGGGGTATGTGTATGAAGGTATGTTTAGAGCAATTACTGGAATCAAGAAGTTGTTTAGGAGTAGTGAAAGACTATATAAGCCTTACATTGATATCATCAATGACCGATGGGATAGGATGTTGAGGAAAAATTTGCATGCTACAGCATATTTTTTAAATCCCGCTTTTCAATATGACACTGCCACATTCTCTACACATCCAGAAATTACAAATGGTTTGTTGGATTACATAGAATCAAAGGTGGATTGGTGTAGTGTGAAAAATTTAACAAGAGAAATTGGAATGTATCGAGAGCGGGAGGGAAGTTTTGGCAAAAAACTTGCTATTTTTACTAGCAAGAAAGATAGACCAGGTAATTTATATTTTTCTAGCATTTGAATCTCTCTAATATATATAAATATATCTATCTAATTTATAAATATTTTGTTTATATTTAAATTTTGAATATGACAGAGAATTGGTGGAAGCTCTTTGGTTGTGATGCTCCCAACTTACAAAAACTTGCAATTCGGGTTTTGAGTCAAACAGCTTCTTCTTCAGGATGTGAGCGTAATTGGAGTGTTTTTTAACATATTCATACTAAGAAAAGGAATAGGTTGGAGCATCAAAGGCTCAATGATCTTGTATATGTGCATTACAATTTGCGTTTGCAGTATAGGTATATGTAAATGGTTTATTTTTATAAATGACATTTCATTCTTTTTAAGAAAATATTTTAGTACTAACTAAGTGTATATGTTGTGTGTATATATATATGTTGTAGGCATAATCAGCAAAAGAGATCGTATGATCCCGTTGATTATGAGTCAATTGATAAAACAGAATTTTGGGTGGTTGAAGAAGAACAAGAAGGGGAGCTTGATTATGAGGAGTTAGAGGAAGAGCTTGAAGAACTTCCAATTCATGGGCAATGTTCAAATTCTGAACAACTTGAAGGTTAGTTTGACATAAATCATTAGCTTGATGCAAAAATAAAGCTAGTATGATATGATATTCAATTGTTGAATATGCATATAATTAAATATGTTGATTTTTTAGATATTGAAGATGAAGCAGAAGATGTTGATTTAGAAACATTTCAGCGTCGAAACTTTTTTAATGATGAAGATGATGATTGGCATTAAATGTTCAAATGGTAATTGGTATAGAATTATTTGTACTCTTTTATTTTTATTTTTAAGATTTGTATCAGTTGGTGTGATAAAACTAATATGATTTTATACTTTATCACTTGTCAGTGATTCATATAATGGTTTTGGATGATGATGACGGCTTATCAAGATGGCTTTTTTTGAAGCTTTGTTGTCCCAGAATGACAAAGAAGATTATAGAAGCCTCGGAAATTGGACTTGTTTGGACTTTTTGATTGTTTTCTAGACTTGTATTGTTTTTTGTTAATTCTAATATTTAGACAATTGAACATGTAAGTTGGATAACTATGTTAATTGTGTGTGTTAATTATTGGATATTGCTTTTATAGTTTTATGTTAATTGTAGTTTAGCATTTATATCTTATTCTGTGCATAGGTGTGTGTGTGTGTTTCCTGATATAGGAAACTTGCATTTACATTCAACTCTAATTCTGCTGTTCGTGGAGAGACATGTAGATAGTACACTAACAGGAGATGCAAATTAGGATATATATATATATATATATATATATATATATATATATATATATATATATATATATATATATATATATATATATTATTTATTTATTTATTGAACCGGGGTTCAACCGGTCCGACCGGTTGAACATCGACCTCAACCCTTTCACTTCACCGGTTTGCTTGACGGTCCGGGTTTGAAAACATTGCTGCTAGGATGACAATTTTTTTAAAAAATATTATTTCACTTGAATTATAAATATATTTTTATTTTTAATTAATCTTTTATTTTACATACACCATATCATAAAAATATTATAATAATTATTTTAAATAATCTCTAAACCATATACACCATTAAATATTTTCATATGTATTCCAGTTTAAAAGTTTATTTGATAATTCAACTTAATGCTGAACATTAATTTATTCAAGATTTTTTGAAGTCAATATATTTGATAACTGAAATTTTTAGCCACTTAATATATTAAGCAAGGCTTAATTTGTGTATAAAATTTTAAGTTAAATTTTTTTACTAAATTTTCTGAATTGATCATATATATTACATTTCTCATTCGTATAACACACTATTATATATGTTTTTGCACAAGATACACATTTGCTCTTGTTTTGATTGACACACGCACATGCAAACATACATACAAATATACACACTTAAGTACTCTCTCTCAATTATTTAATTATTTTCTCTGGCAAACAAATAATTTTCTTTCCTACCAAATATATAAATAAAGACAATTTTTTTAAAGATGAAAGTATAATATTTGTGTGATATTTCAATTCAGTGACATAATTTAACTAGTTATCAAACAAATATAACTCCATCAATTCAACAACACGTTTTTCAGATATCAAATTTCAGTTTTCTCAAACTCACATATTTAATTTGTTTCTCACTGTAAGCATAATATATAATACATGTCAAACATAACGGTAGCAAATGCAGGAAATTAAAGATAAACGAAAGTTTAGGTTGAGGTCTTCATTTGAGAGGTTGTCTTTGACTCTTCATTGATTTTGGTAAAAAAAAAAAAAAAAAAAAGTAGGAAATAAATAATATTCATTAGTGTTCATTTCCTGAAATGCCAAATTTGGTTAGGCTGATTGAAAGGTTAGGTCGAAGCCAAAGGTTTGATCCCACCAACCCACGATTTCGCAAAATCAGCATCCAGCCGTTGGATGATCAAGGGCTTGCCGGCACATCAACTCTTTATTTCGAACTAGCAACAAATTTTCCGCCATTTTACTGTTTTTGAACATTCAAAATGTTGTGCTGTTTTAAAGACAAAACAAAGCACAATCACAAAACACACAAACCCAATACACAGTATATAATCATCTGCGAGATATTCTAATTCTACTGTGCCAAAAACCGCCATGGCACCACCAAAAAAATACTACAATCACGCAGAAATTGCAAATGCATCCTCAAATCGCCACCCGCCTTACTTTCAGGCACGTACGTCTTCAATTTTTCCGCCTTACTAATATATTCTGCTCTTAATTGCTTTATATTTCCAATGGTTTTTTGTTCGTGTAACAAATGTCAGATGATAAGCGAAGCCATCACCTCGCTGAAGGATAGACATGGTTCGAGCCAGCCTGCCATAGCAAAATTCGTTGAGCGAAAGTACCGTGAATTGCTTCCACCAAATTTCAAGAAACTCCTGTCTATTCAGTTGAAGAAGTTTGTGAAATCAGAGAAGCTAACCAAAGTGAAGAACTCCTATAAGATCTCTGCTCCCGAAAAAGTGGTCGTAAAATCTGCAAGGAAGATCCAGCCCGAGGCAACTGCTACGAGGAGGGCTGCGGCCAAGAAAAGCAATGCTCGTGGACATGGACCCAGCACGAACAAAAGGAGGGCAAATGAGAAGGCCTTGAAGAAGATGAAGAGGCTGAGTCAAGTGGAGACTCCCGAGGCTTTGGAGAAAAATTCTAGAGGATTGGTCACGACCGTCAAGGGGTCCATTACTGGAGCAAAGATGAAGCGGTTGCGTCAGGTGAAGACCCCCGAAACACTGAAAAAGAAGAATGCAGCCAGCATTCCTGCGAAGAAGATCAAGTTATTACCAACTCCATGTCTTCAAAATCACCAAACGCTGCTAGGCCCGATTGCCAAGAAAACTAGGAAATGATCGTATTCATTTCATATGGTAATTATAGTTGAATGATTGTGAACTAGTAGTGCTACATACATCTAGTTGGAGTGTCTGGTTAGGCTAAGTATTTCTACGGTTAATTGCACTTTGCATACCCGAATTATTTGCAGTTGGCATTTTGCCCCGTAAGCTATTGTATGCTGTCTCAAAAGTTCAGCCTTTTTTGTTTTGGGCGTTGCAAAGAAACGATTTGAATACCAATCAAATTAGGTTATTAAAATACTGTACAAAATACTTAAGAGTTTGAGAGCCTATGTTGCTAAAATCGATATTAAAACATTTTTTTAATTTATATTACCAACTACCAATTGAGATTATAAGTAATTACCAAATAACTATCCTTTTAGAATTTTTACATCATTAAATTCTTTAAATATTTAGTATAATAACGTAAAATCAATTTTTATGAAAAAGTTTCTACAGGTACTTTTTTTTTAAAAAAAAAATTAATGACATGTACCTCTGGTGTGCCTACATATCTTGTAAATTTAATGCATAGGGAATTTTTTTTTTTTTTTGGGTATCGAATTGCTAGTTTCGGTCCATATTCAAAATGTGGAATTTACAACCTGTACGTGCAATTTGAAAAAGTTTTCTAATTAAATCAATAGAAATGTCAAAAATAAAATATGGAAAAGTAATATGTATGATTGTTGCTTTAGTCACGCGTACATTTATAAATAAGTACGGAGTACAACAAAAGTGTTGAAGTAAAATGATCCGATGCCATATGACTTCAAAAGTGGGGAAAGATAAAAAGCAAAATTTAATACAAAAAAATTCAATCTAAACGGGAATACTTACCCCTCAACTCACCATTAATTGGTTCCGATTAAACGACACAAGAGGTGTGAGTATCATCATCATTAAACATTTGGTCGCTCTCAATGGCATGGATCCTGTGGACCAAAGTTGGAATCATCGAGAACCTCTAATGTCCACTCATCCGCCCAACAGATCATCTCGAGGATAAGAACTGCATATATCGACTCGAGCAGCAATACCGGTTCGCATTTTCTTTTACCATCTGGTTGGGCATGATGACGTTGCTGTCTCTCCATCCATCTTGATGGCAAACACGCTTCTAGCTCTCTCTCTCTCTCTCAGAGCCAGAGGATGGAGAAGGGCGGCGAGAAATTTTTAGCCTTTTAGCTGGATCCGGTTGTCATCATGTCTTTATTTGTCTTTTTCTGCGGCTCTTATTAAGAAGAAATGTAACATTTCATCCCACTGGCGGCGAGAATTTGGCCCGTCTAACAAGCAGCGCCAATAATCTAATCAGTTAAGCAACTTAACTCTAAGCAAGCTAAAATAATTACGGTATGAAGAAACCTTTTAGTATTTTTTTTTTTTTTTCTCAAACGCCAAAATCGATCTCACTCCTAAGTTATAGGGGAAAAGAAAAGCCTAACAACGCCGTCTGAAAAAATAAAGGTTGGACGTTTCAAATTAGACAGGTGCATTACTACACCATCTAAAATTTTTAAGAGAGATAAACCTAAACATCCTGACGTATCTGCACCACCGAGCGTGAACCCTCATCCTGATGTTCTCGGGAGCGACTTTTAACTATTTAAGAAGTCATCCCTCCCGACCAAATTCTTTAAACCGTGTTAGTTAAGGAATGAAGCTTGACATGATTCTGCAGATGCCATTTCGGAGTCATTCAGGTAAAAATCTTCTGCGTGGATGATCATGGTCGTAAGTTCATAATCCCATTTTATGCCTTTTATAATAATGACAAGGTAATAAATTAAAACTTATTCGTGGCTGGCATATTCCATTTTCGTTGGTCCGTTGCCTGCATCTCATGAAGAGCCAAATTTGTTGCTTTCACCAACCAAACATGTCATGTCTAGCCTAGCAGGTTTTTACCATTTTTTTTCTTCTTTTTTCATTTTTGCCCCCGACCGGACCGGATTTACACGACACAATTATACTAAGATGATGTCGCTTTTCAATTCTTCCAAGCGAGGTGAGGATTCAAATTTCACTTGCATCAAAAAAAAAATTTAAGAGTAGTGTCATAACACTCCTTTGATTTAGTTGAGTCTTTGTACCCATTAACCTCTAAAACAAGCCTCTTAAACTTCCTAGATTAAGATAAAGTAAGTTATACAATGCATCGTTGTTGCTGATAAAAAAAAAAAAAAGTTAGCAACTAACGCGGAACGGTACATGATAAACGCAACCGAGGACATGTACACGTGCATGGCACTTGATCCACTGTTGCAAGGATTTACGTAATCGATTGATCAGTCAAATCAACCATTATTATTAACTAATTAGTAGTAATTACTACCCCATCCCATTCGCTAGCGTAGCGTAACGGGGATGGACTACCCAGCCGCAGCAGGACTGCTGGAGGCTGCAAACTGCTGTGCAAAGTCAACAGCTTCAGGAACCGACGCCGTTTCTGTCTTGCGTTCCCCTGCGTAGATAAATTAATCGCTTCACTGGTTCGCGCGTGAACTATTCCCTTCCGGCAAACTGATCGCATACCCCACGCCTTTGGTCGACAACTGACAATAATATAGGCCCACCCACGTCACTCCTGCTCATCGATCGGCGGAGTTCGTGGGTCCCAATTCCATCAAGCCAAAAGATCCTCCAATCGAAGGGTCTTCATTCTCTTAATCACCGCATATATATATCTATATATATATATATATTGATAGTGCAACGCTGCGCATTCATCTTGCTCTTATTAAAATATCAACCAGAAAACGCATCTCACATTTATGATAGGAAAATGTGGCTCAGTCCAATGCCACAATTCCCTCAGTCCCTGACTCACCCTTGTACGCATTACATATACTACGACTCGCCTAATAATATCAAATTTAGTGGGAGTACTGATTTATAACCTATCTTCTAGTTTAATCAAACTACATATTATATTTACCCTGAGATCTAGCCATATTACAAGAAGGTCCTTCAATTGGAAAAACCTATAACAAATGGCCCCTTACCGTTACTTTATCAGGGTTGACCGTTAAATGGATAATGAGTCAACATGATATTTTTAATGAAAGTCCTACATTACCCTCAAAACCTATGCTAGCCCCTCTTCATCCCCTCTTCTGATATTTTGTTTTCTTTTTTTTTTTTTTTTTTGGTTTTTAAGGGAAAAGCATACAAAGCTATTGGTGAAATTTGCTTGATGGTGGCAAGCTCTAATGGCGACGCCTCCGACTCCCTATCTCCTCTCCACACTTTTTTTCCTCTTTCTTCTTTTCGTGTTATCTAATATCTTTCCTTTCTTTTCTTTTTTTTGTTTGTTATTTTCTTTTTGGAATTTTAGAATTTGAGTGGTTGAAGATAATGATTGATGAAATCTTTTAATGATTGTGAGAGTTGCTAGAATTTTCTTTTGCTTAAGGTGAAGGATTGTGGTGGAGGTTAATCATGTTTGTGAAGGAATGGAAGTGGCTTGAGCCTTGAGGTTTTTAATGAAGTTAAAGGACTAAGGATGAATGTTGAATTCAAATAAATTTGGAAGAAAAAGTTCATTTTGATAATGGCCATCATATGTTTGCTAAAATGTCTAGCTTTACAACTTCATCTTACATGTAGTCTTTTTTACCATCCAATATATGCCTACTTTTGAGAGAATTTCTCCAACCAACTAATCTGATGTGGTAATTTCGTCCAAGCGGAACAAAAATGAAGCTGGCAGGAGGGTTGATATTTTCTTTTGGCTTTTAATATCTTCTCTACCGTTTCCTTTTACTGTTTTGAGAGTTATGTTTCATGTGTGAAACGCCTATATGTGAAAATTTGCACGTTAGCAGCGAATGAAATAAACCAACTCCCTTATGAGGAGTTGACCACCACATTAATTGTGAGGTGGGAGGTCAAAGGTTGAAACCTTGATTTTCATCAATATGTTTCTAGATGAGATTTGTTCTAAATTCATACGGGTACAAGGTACATTCGTCTGGTTTGATGATAGTTCAGTCCCTATTAGATTTTTCCGACCCAATTAGACCACCCCTTAGAATAGGCTCCTCTAGTAGTAGTAGCAATAGGTTATATTAGACTAGATGTGCCGTTATGTTAATAAAAAAAAAAAAAAAAAAAAAAGTAGAAGCGAATGAAATGACTGGACTAGTGCCCAATTGAACGTCGCTGAAAAGGAGGAACTAGCGGTGCTCGTTGGTAACAAAGAATTGCAGCTCACATTCCATTTTTTTTAATGCCATTTTTGTAGTGGAAGGTATTACCGTCATTATAGTAATTCCGTTTGTTGGCCCTAAACCCCACCATTTGCAAGGGGGTGGCTGTAATATGGTCAAACCTCAAGGTTTGAATTGTAATTTGGCTAAACCTCTGTGAAGTAAATGTAATTAATCCTAATTTATAAAAACCCACCCACCACCTCGTTCATCCCACGTTACATTTCTTCTCCAGAACCACCACCGCTCCTACTTTCCATCCTCATGAATAATAATTCAGCTTCCGCACTCCAGGCCAGCATTTAATAATCCCTTCCCCTTCATTTCACGTGTACATAACCCCACAAAGCATCTCTTGTTCTTGTTTTCGTTTTTTTTTTTTTTCTCTTGGTTGGTAATTTTATATATAGGAAAACAAGCACAAGCACGTAGCCAGTAGTACTACTATACTAAAATGGAAGGGGTAACAGCCACTGCTTACAAGGGCGTAAAGGGTTACTGGATGAGGAAAGGATACGAGAAACTAGATGGGAGCGGTAGTCGACGGAGGAAGAGAAGGGTGGTGGAGTTGGGGGCGGAAAACGGGTCAAGCCGGAGGAGGCGCTTCTGGAGGATAAGGTTGACTCCCAGGCTGAAGCTGAAACTGAGATTAAGATTCTCGCCCAAGAAATTTATCCTGGGACTTCGGGATGCGTACGTTAATCTGATGACCAAGCTGGCCAGCAGCCGGTTCGTCAACAGCGGGGTGGCCGGATATCCTGGGGAGGGCATCAGCGGGTTTGGGTTGCGCCCGCTCAAAGAGTACGACGAGAAGATGATCGTCGAGATCTACAAGTCTTTGGTGATGGCTCAGGGCCACCAATTGGTGAATCCCGGCGTCGCAGTCGCAGTCGCACGCCGCAAAATTCCCACTCTTCCTACGGTAACTGAATGCTGAGAGACTACCAATAAATTCCATCCCTTTAATAATACTCCACACACACCCCACCGATTAGTAGCAATTTTTGTTTGCCCACTACGCCAATCAATCAATTTTACCTCTGGTAAGCTGTAGTAACTGTTACAGTCAAATGAATACTTTGGTCGTAATAAATTTAAGTCTGCTTTGTAGTTTGTAGTTTTCGTGTGAAAATCAACGTGCCAGCCATTTGATTGGCACCCAAAAGGATTAGCTTAAGCTCATTGACAAGATTGAAAATGGATCATCCATGCTACTGTTCTAATACTCCGGAGCGAATGCTATTGACGGACCAAAGTTTAAATTCCACTAATTGAGCGCCCACCGCACATTCCCGCAACTTTTTATTTCCGTTTTTCTTTCTTTTCTCGGCCGGGCGGGGGCCGGTGAAACTTCAATTTTACTTGGTTAGGGAGTCGGCTTCATAAAATTGGTTCTTGCTTGATGCGCAAAATTGTACATGGGCTTATGTAAGCTTAATCAAATTAGGGTAATCACCGTTGTTGGTCTGGACTCTAGGCTCTAGAGGAATGTGGTGTAGAGCAAAACACCAATTTAGTTCCAATACTCTATTTTGCTGAAGTCAAAATGGCGTGTTTGAATAATAATTATTTGGGATAATTTTTTGAATAAAAATACTACTGTACCACTTTTTTGATATGATGTATATGAAATAAAAGGGTAGTTGAAAAATGTGTTTGCATGGTTAATTAGGTTCTTATTTGGCTAATCGACCCAATTTTTTTTCAACTCTTTACACTAATAATCAGAGATCAAGTAGGAAATCCAATCACTGCCTTGTTTAAACAATAGAAAAATCGAAATGTGTCTAGAAATCAACAACGAAATTAAATCATTTGAAGAGCAAAGAAAATATATAGATTTTTAGGGAGGAAAAAAATAGAGCTGATGTCCAAAAAATTTTCACATGGATCGAACTCAGTCCATTAAATGGTGAAAAGTAAAAATAACAGACTATGATTATGCAAACAGTTAAAAAAACGTGTTATACAATTACCCTTATAAAGTTAAAAGAAGGTAAGTTTTTTGGGTTTGCATGTGATTCAATATTGCCGATTTCTCGAAATATATCTGTTTTTCCATTAAACTGGAGTGCAATAAATGAATCTCAATGCTTTGCCATCCTTTTCCGATTTCTACATGTGAGCAGCCAAGTTTCAGCGGCAACTTAAAGTTGAACGTGGTACCAACATGTTACTCGTTAAAATCCACCTAGCCACGGCCCACCCTAAATCCGAACATTAGGCTATAAGACCTCTCCTCCCAGTTGGGAAAGAAGAGTTGAGGACATTTTTAGTGAGAAGAATAAGATAATTGGCTTTAGAAAGAGAAGTAGAATATCATAAACTTCTATTCATATAAAAATTTCGAAATTTTATCCTTGGGGAGGGGAATTCCAAGAGGCTGGACACTAAGCTTTGTTTTTATTTGATTTGATTTGATTAATTAGTGAACCAAAAAAAAACCTTCGTGCAACCGAAATTGGTTTGAAAATGAATAGCATGGCTCATGTTACTATCCGCCCTTACCGGACAAAATTATTAATAACTTGTGAATTTCCATATCTTTTTCCCGGATTGAGAAACTCTTCCACTAACTCCATTTAATGCCGAAGGATAGGTTAGGTGGTAAAATTGGAGAAATTATAAGTAAAAGATTCTGAATTTAAGATTCTCACTTATAATATACATATGCATCCATACATACATACATACGTTTACTGAGCCAAAGATCAAGTCACAATTCACCCCTATGGGCCGACATGGGAAGTTTGTCTCTGCAGGATTGCTGGATTGTTGTCTTCTGTGTTCAATCATGGGCCTAGTTTCCGTGTGTTTCGGTATTACCTCTGTTGCATCCGGTCCTCTGTTGACAGCTTCACGAACTGTTCTCATATGACTAAAATCCACTGCCAAAGGCTAAATTGAACTTTTTTTTTTTTAAGGCTAAGTTTAAGTTACTATTGTACCCTTTTCTCATGAATTTTAGGTAAATCACATTGCCGCCACTACATTTCTCCTTGATTGTGAGATGACACAGTGACCTGTAGCTAGGAATGTTCATCGGCTAGTAGTCAAGAACTCGATAAAAAATTTTCAAAAATTGATAGGAATTGATTCCCTTCTTCATACCTCTTGAAACCTCATTAGTTAATGTCCCTAAAACCCAACTTAACTAATATGGACATAAGCTAAGTGATTGCGAGCTTCTTGATTTGACTTTCAAGTCTCCTTTTACCTTGTAAAGATGGAGAAAAAAAATAGGTCCAATCTATGTGAATTCGTGCAGCATAGATGCCGTTATACAGGGTGAAACTTTTACAGCCAAAACATGAAGTGAGGTAAACGTAATTAGGCCTTCTAAAACGACTGAAATTGGTCAAAATCAAGAATGATCGACGGATTACTGTATTCATCTTTTAAATTGGCACAATCTCTTGTCACGACTCCATGCAAGCGTTTGTAAGATTGTTACCGAGTCACTAGATACTTTTGTTCCCAGTCCAAGTTCGTAGATTTAGGAGGAGGAGGTTGGGAGAGAAACTTAAAAATTTTCCGAGGAACTTAAAAATATCAAGAATTAGCTAAAATGATAAACATAGACCCACATATCATGGCTGAATGGCATTATTGATGCATTCTTCAGAAAAAGGAAAAAAAAAATGAAATGACGACATCGATATACTACTAATTAATATCTGCTTTTACCTCTAGTTGCAGATAGTGATGAGTGCCAGCCAGCTTACAGCCTACAGGATCAGGAGTCAATAATGTTCAAGAAACCAACAAAAGCCCATTTCTGATGTTTCGGGACGGGGATCGACTTTGGTTTTGGGTTGTGGGGGAAATTGTCCTCCGCTCACTCTGTACTCGACTCAGCAAGCATGCGCATGACTAGCTCAGCTGTAGTTGTAGTACCATTACTGCCATATGCAGGTGTGTGTGTGTGTGGGGGCGCGCGTGTGTATATATATATATATATATATATATATATATATATACATGTATATATGTATCGGGCGGAACAGGCAGGAGGCAGGGCCAAGGCCCTTCATTGGTTGGTGGTGGCTTCCAACATCTTTTCAGAGACCAGACCACTGCATCATAAAATGACAAACTAGGACAGCTGGCATCAATAGATTTTCAGGACCCAGTCGAACGCATCACCTCCTTAGTCTTCCTGCACTTCTTTTACTTACCTTTCTTTCGGCTTTTAGTCGATCGATAGGAAGGATTAAAGGAACAAGGGCTGAGTGCATTTTTAATCTCCATTATTGATGAGTTTGATCCCTTATCCTCATAGAAGCAAAACGGATTGATTTTCTCTAGGGATGACAGTTGATCTGGTACCATCTAATAAAATGAAGTGGTTAGTTGCTCGTTTCTCTTTAAATACTCTGACAAACAATCCTAATTGCCCTTCAAGTATCCCACCCAAAAATGGAACCTGTAGTTTTTAGAAGATTTAGCGATTTACAAGCACAAACAAGAGCTTTGTTTGGATACCAATAATATTATTCCAAATAATATTTCGCTTGCATCATAAATACATTTCCTAACTCACCTTTTTCTATTTCCAATCAACTTTTTGTCTCACATACATTACATCACAAAAAGTGCTACAGTAATTATTCCAAATAATATTTCAAATAACACTCTATCCAACTTTTGCGTTACTAATAATATTTCAAATAACACTCTATCCAACTTTTGCGTTTCAAATAATATTTCAAAGGTTTGCGTTACTAATTTGAATGAATCTAAATCCAACTGATTTATATTTTTGGATGGTAATGACACATAACGTACTTTTGATCTTGTATTTTGAGTAAACATCATGAAAGGGCGGCTATGAACATTGAGGAATATTGAATATACAAACAGAATATTCTTGGATTGGTGTCATATCGATCCTCTCCTATATGTATTTGTTAAGAATTGGTACGATCAACAACGTGTAAGAGGATTCAAACATGAATAATATTGGAAGTTATGGCGAGGCAGAAGCATACTATTCTCTTAAGATTACTAGCAAGGCTTTTGTTTTCTTCGCATATTCTTTATCATCTATCCTTCTATACATGATATCAAATGGTATTCATTGTTTTCGAAGGTAAGTCATACTTTCAAGTGCTAAACGTTTCCATATTCGGAAATAACAATCAACTTTGAATATAAAAACTTGTTCTTGGAGGATATGAATGAAGCTTTGTGGAGTTGTGGCGTGTTGATGGGTTTAGGAGTTTAACAGATTGATTTGGCTTTGCAAGGGGCAAGAATTTAAGTGTAGGATGATTTTTCTTTTCTTTTTTCTTTGAACCTAAATAGGGCAAGATGGAGGGTATTGCAGCTAGTAAAGGGGAATGAGGTTAAAAAAAAAGGGATAGATCCTGATTATGCTTAACATAAAACATTCAACTTATCAGAGCAGAGTGAAATCCTCGAGGTGGCTGGCTCTATTTGTTTGGGCTTGGCCAAACTGGACCCGTACTTATTCGTACGGATAAGCATTTTTAACCAGCAACATATGATGGTTTACCTTTAGTATTTTTTTTTTTCTCATTTCCCTCCTTTTTTTTCTCGAGAAAAATGTATTAAGACAACAACAAATGACTTCATGAGCTTGTCCTGGTAAAACATAAAACTAGCCATCAAACAGGAAGATGATGTGAGACCGAGGCGTGGGCTGCCAACATAAAATACTCCAACTGTAAAGATGCCGAATAGAGTTGCAAATGAATTGAATCGAGATCGAATCAAGTTGAGTCTTGACTCGATTTCACCAAACTTGAACTCGACGAGCTCTCGATACAAAGTTTGAGTTTGACTTCAAAATTGAATTAAGTCGAGTTTGAATTCGAGATTACTCGAATTTAAAAATAAAAAAATGAATAAAATAGTAAATTTTTCTTAACAAATAATAAGATATTAGATATATATATAATCTCACTATTAAAATAAAAAAGAGTGGCACATGAGTTAATGAGTTGAGTTTCCTTATACTCAAATTCGAACTTGACCTCAACTTGATTGACTTGAGGTCGAATTAAATTTTGATCGAACAAACTTACAAGTGTTCACAGGCGGCTTGATTAGTTTGTAATCCTAACGTGTAGCGTGACAATGAGGTGATGTGTGCGATAGACCTCGTAAAACAATTGAGAAACTTCTTTTGCCTTGAAATGCATGAATCTGTTG